GTAAAGCCACTATGGAAAACAGCATGGAGGTTCCTCAAAACAATTAAAAATCGAAATATCATATGATCCAGTAATTCCACCACTGGATGTTTACGCAAAGAAACCAAAAACATTAATTTGAAAGATATATGCACACCTGTGTTTACTGCAGCATTATTTACAACAGCCAAGTTATGGAAGCAACCCAAGTGTCCACTGGTAGATGAAGGGATAAAGAAGATGTGGTATATATATGTACAATGGAATATTACTCAGCTACAAAAAAAATAAAATAAAATCTTGCCATCTGCAACAACATGGATGGGCCTATAGAATACAGTGCTAAGTGAAATAAGTCAGTCAGAGAAAGACAAATACTATGTGATTTCACTCATATGCGGAATTTAAGAAACAAATTAACAAAGAAAAAAAGAGACAAACAAAACACAGACTCTTAAATACAGAGAACAAACTGGTGGTTGTTGCTAGAGGGGAGGTGAAGGACGGGCTAAATAGATAAAGGGGGTTAAGAGTATACTTATCTTGAGCACTGAGAAATGTATAGAATTGTTGAATCATTATATTGTACATTGTACAATTGTACATTATATTGTATATTGTGAAACTTACACAACACTGTAATGTTAGTTATACTTCAATAAAAATAATTAAAAAATAAAAGTAAAGGGCCTGGGCGGCTCCATTACTTGAATGTCTGACTCTTGATTTCTGCTCAGGTCATGATCCCAGGGTTGTGGGATCAAACCCTGCATCGGGCTCTGTGCTGTGTGTGGAGCCTGCTTAAGATTCTCTCCCTCTGCCCCTCTCCCCCACTTGTACTTTCTCTCTCTCTCTCTCACTGTAAATATAAAAAAAAATTTAAATTTTTTTAAAAATAAAAGGCACTGATTTAAACTATACAGTGTTCCCTGCCCTCTACTTGGAAACTGAGGGTCATTGTTTTACCAGATGTAATATTAAATTCTTCCATTTGGTGCCTACATTTTCTGCCTCTCCTCTTGCAGTTTCCTAAATACAGTGGAAGGTATTTCATTTCTTCATGTCTATGAACACAAAAGTCTCTCAAACTAGAACAGTTGTTCTCAAGCCTGACTCCACATTAAAATCACTTCAGGAGCTTAAAAAAAATACCTCATATTTGGGCCCTATTAACTAAATCAGAATTTCTGGGGAAGGAGTCAGAAATCTGGAGATCAGGAGCTCATTTTTAAAGGCTCCCCAGTTGACAATAATGCACAGCCAGTGTTGAGAATAACTTACCTAGAATCATCTATTATCTACCTCCCTTTAGCCAAGTGCAGTTGTTTTCTCAACTCCAATCATTCATATATCAGTTTTGGAAAGTTGTGTTTTTGCATTTGAATTTCAAATTGATAAGCAAAAAGTTGTTCATAAGATCATCTTATCTTTTAATGTCTGTATATCTATAGTGACATCTTTTTCCCCCTTATACTAGTTGTTTTGCCATCTCCTCTTTCTGAATTAGTTCTGCTAAGGGCTTATGCATTTCTCAGTTGTTTCTCAAAAGTTCTCAGGGCTAGAACTTTTGCCTGTATTTTTCTCCTCCATTGTTCAGTTGTCCATTTAATTTCTGCTCTTACTTTTATTCTTTCCTTCCTTCAACTTTCTTAGATCTTAATGAACTCTTCCTTCTCTAGTGGTTTCATGAGACTTAGAAGACTTAGATGACTGATTTGTAAATCTTTCTTTTTTTTCTACTACACGCATTTAAGGAAATGAATTTCCCTCTGGGCACAGATTTAGTTGCACCTTACAAGCTTTCATATGCTACATTCTATTATCATTCAGTTCAATGGTAATTTCAAACTTCTTTTATAGTTTCTTCTTTGATCTATAGGTTTTACACTGTTTTTTTAAAACATTTTTTTTAATGTTTATTTTTGAGAGAGAGAGAGAGAGAGCATGCGCCAGTGCGCACAAGTGGGGGAGGGGCAGAGAGAGGAAGACACAGAATCCAAAGCAGGCTCCAGGCTCTGAGCTGTCAGCACAGAGCCCGACGCAGGCATCGAACTCACGAACCGCGAGATCATGACCTGAGCCAAAGTTGGACGTTCAACCAACTGAGCCATCCAGGCGCCCAGAAGTATAACACCCACACATTTAGGGATTTTATTATTGATTTCTAGTAAATTCCACTGTGGTCAGTAAATATACTGTAAACTATTTAAATCTCTCGAAATTTGTTGAGGCCCAGCATAATCAATTTTGGTAAATGTTTCATGTATATCTAAAAAAGAATGTATCCTACAGCTGTTGGTACAGTATTCTTCAGCCATAACTAAGGTCTAGTTTATTGAACTCTTCAAGTCTTTTAGATTCTGACTATTTTATCTGCTTCCTATAATAATTAATAAAAAGAAATATAAAGTCCTCTGTTATAATTGTGGATTTCCTTGAAATTCTGTGAATTTCTGTCTATATGTTTGAAGTCATGCTTCTAGGGATGGATGTGTGTGTGTGTGT